TAATAGACATTTGACTATTCATTAATTCATTCAAAATACAGATACCAATATTCAAAGACTGCCTGTTCTATGCCAAGTACAATTTTAGATAGTACAATTTTAGATAGTACAATTTTAGATGCAAAAAAAGGGTCCTGTTCTTCTGAAACTTATTTCTAAATGAACAATAAACAAATATGGAGAGTGTGAGAGGGGATAAATTACATAGTGAAAAATCAAAGCAGGAGAGGAAAAGGCCATAAGGAGTGGAGGCAGGATATCAACTTTAAAAGAGGTCAGGAGGGGTGACCATTAAGGAAAAACATGAAGCAAGTAAAGAGGCAAAACTCAAGACTGCCTACAGGAAAAATGTTCCTTGCACACTCAAGGAACAAGGAGGATAATATGGGTGGAATCAAGCAAGTAAAAGGGTGAAGGAAGTTGGGGAAGCTGTGTAGAGGACTGGTATCTATTCTGAGCAGGCTGGAAAGTTTCCAGAGAGTTCTAAATAGAATATTATCATACACTTCACTTGATTAACAACCTTCATGGTGCTGTGCTGGAAAGAGACTTCAGAAGCTCAACGGCAGTAGTTGGGAGTCCAGTGAGGTAAGATACAACTGTAGCTGGGTCCAGTGTGGCTGTGGCGGCTGTGACAAGAAATGACTAGCAGATCAGACAGCTCCTAAGGTCAGAGTCAGAACATCAACTACTGAAAGACAGGATGTGGTTTGTAAAAAAAAAAAAAAAAAAAAATGAGGAAGTACAAGTGTAATATTTTGGCCTAAATAAATGAAGGATGGACTTGCCAATTAACTGAAATGGGGAAGGGGGAGTGGAATTTCTGAAATTGGACGTGTCTAATAGACATATAGACGGGGTGATGTTGACATTCAAGAGAGAGATCAAAACTAGAAATTTGGGGATTACTGGCCTATACATGGAACTTACAAGGTAGTGGTTACTATAAATAAATAAACAGGAGAAAAGAAGTCCATGGGTTAAACTCAGAAGCATTCTAAAACATAAAAAGGGCTTTGTAAGAAGACAAACAAAGAAGGAAAGTTGTGTTCCAGAAGCAGGGGCTGTGTTTTAAGGAGAAAGGATTGATCAACTGTGTCAAATTAAATGAGGACTGAAAACGGATTCTTGTTTTCAGCCATGATGAAGAGGAATTTCAAAGGGAGGAGAGGATGAAAGCTTGATCAAAGTCCAAGAAGGAATAAAGGTATTTGATGATAAATAGCCCTTTTGAGGAATTTAGCTATCAAGGGTACTAGAGAAATGGTTAGTAGTTTAGAGCACAAACAAGAACTAGAGAGGATATTTCAGAGGAAGAAGTTCAGCTACCTCTGCTGAAGGGATGAGTATCTCTCTACTCCTTAAATAGTGAATGCACAAAGTGACTTTCTTCCAAAGGTTACAGTGCTGGCTGCAGCAGTACATGTTACAGTTCTTCCAAAGGTTACATTATGGGAATAGGCAGACAGAGTTAAGTTTACAGTGTAGAAGTGACAGACACTCTCTCAACCATGGTTAAGATCGAGTGATAATTCACTTCCACAGGATGTACCCATGAGATTCAGTGATGAAATGGCCAGTTCCCTCCATAGTCTTCTTCCCACAACTCATTATGAGAAAAACATGAGACAAACCCCAGTTAAGAAACAACCAATGCTCCTCAAAACTTCCAGATACATCTAAAACAAGAAAAGCCTGAGAAACAATCATAGTGAGGAGATGAAGAATACATGGCAACTACTGCCGTGAGATAGCTGGATGAATCTGGCAACAGAAAGGACTCTAGGTGAATGAAGATGGATGAAAGACCTGTGAAAACAGTACCAACGTAAATTAACAAGAATGTGCCAATACTGTAACAAATGTAGTATCCTAATGTAAGCTGTTACTAATAGGAGAAACCAATTGAAGAATACATGGGGCAGATGTAGAGTATATGTGAGAGCTTTCTGTGTCATCTTCTAAGTTTTTCAATAAATTTAAATATTCTTTAAAAAAGCCTTCAAAAACAAAAAGAACATAGCTTCAAAAGTCTGTTGATCTAGTTAGAATCCTTGTAATTTAGTAGACTCTGACTGAAGTTGTTTAAATTTTGAGTATCAGTTTCCATGTCAATAAAATTGAAATATGCAGAGTACCTACTTCATAGGATTTTTGTAAGTAAATGAGGTAGTTCACTTAAATGTCTGACAAACAGTAAATACTTCCAACATGGCAACTATGTTATTATTCTATTATTTTAAGTCCTTATTGAATATTCAAACACAAAATGATTTTACATTTAATTTGTTTTAAAGTAATTAAGTCTTATAATTTCCTTTTTTATAGGAAAAACTGAATATCACCTATTACATAGAATCTGTAAAAATGTCTTCTTTCTCAGCAAATTGAAGTGTTGGGAGGTTTTACAGTGATCCTGGTATGCCAATGACCCACCTGCCTTTCCTGACACACACACACTCATCCTATCGTACAGGCTGCTATACTACCTTCCTCTGTCTGCAGCCTGACACTCAGCATCATCAAGAATCATGATCAGATCCAGATAGTTTGATCTATTACTGTTACAGTTATTTTCCATTTGACATGTTGGGACCTCTATGCTTTCAGAGCCTCACCTGACCTGAGCATAAAAGTACAGTCCTGTGTGGTTGTATGTGCTAGAGCTTGAACTCAGGGTCTCTCAAACTATACACTACCACTGAACTACAACTCTAGGCCCAGCACGACTTCTTGATTTAATCCTCTCTTCCCTTTTTCCTCCTCCCTCAAAATCACGTTTCTCTTCCTGCGCTTTTTTCTCTGCTTTCTTCCTTCACTGTAACAGGGAAACTCAGCATGTTTAACACAGGCAGTGGCCCTGAATATCCTGACCTATGCCAACCTTCCCTGGTGTAGAGCTACTTAGCAGCTGGTTAGTTCCAGCTGCACAAGTCAGGCAGTCAGGAGGCACAACTCTCTGTAGAGGGAATTATAGCTGGAGCATTAGGGAGTAAATATGTTAGATCCTTTCACTTTGAAAGAATCAATATACAAAGGGACAAGGGCCAGTCTACCTGTAAAGATAGGCTTTACATGGATCCTCAACATGGATCCAAGAAGGCAATCTGCTATCTACAGGAACCAGGACAGAACTATCTATAGCGGTAAGTTCAGAAAGCCAAACAATAACCCCTGTAGCAATTTGCTGCAAACCACCAGAACTGATAACTTCCTTAATTTTTTTCCCTGACCTGTAGGATCAATCAGAAAAAGTCAAATATGCACACCTAAATGGTCAAATGGATGCCTCACTTCACATGAGCCTGCCCGTAATTTCCTCCAATGGACATAGCTGCAACCTTTTCACTTCTCTGCCTGCCTTTCAAATTGCTAGTTCAATGTAATAGTAGCTGATTTGTTGGATGTGAATAGCCTTTGCTTGTTCTCCTTTGGGTGATCTTTGTTCCACAAATAGGAGAGTGGGGCTGCATGTTTAAATGGACCACTGAATTGTTTTCAAGTGAGGAATGCTTTCAGGAAGCTGTGAGTTGCCCTAGAAAAGAACACAGCAGTAGCAGGTATAGTGTGGTTTGCCATAAACTATGGGTGTAGGCTATGAGGGCTTAAATCCTAACGCTGCCAAGTTGCGTAAACTTGGGCAAGTTACTTCAGCAGTGTGTACCTCAGAGTCCTCATTTGTTAAGACACGGATGATGCTCACAGCATGTGACTCATAAAGTGCCTGGGTTATGTAAGATACCAACTCATGAAAAGCACAAATATCTGACATTAGTGCTATGGACAGAAAGAGGAGGAGGAAAAGTGAAAAGGAATCTAGCAGACCCGGCTGACCTTCCTGAAGAGCAGCAGTGACCAGCACCTAAGTGTTGACTGTCCCTTCTCTTGTGTTTCCTGATCTTCTTCATCTCTATCAACCTGCTTCCTTCATTTATGACACCTACCTCGCCTCATTTACGACATGCGCACTGGCCTAAAAACATTTTGTTTCATAAATTCAATAACTCTAGGAAATCTATAGGTGTGCTAATATTGTCTATACCTCCATCCAGTTCAAAAATATCTGGTGGAGGGGGGATCTGAGCTCTCAAATTCACACTGGAAAATTTCCGTTTTCCAGAAATCAGTCAAGCTCCTTTTGCTGAGATTTTTACTGAAAGGTCAAACTCCAAATGTAGAATTTAAAACACATAAAACAATTTTTATATAACTGGCAGCACGGTGGTACTGCAGTTCCGGAAAGTGTAATAAAATTATTCATCAGCAACTGAAAGAAATTCCTCTCAGAGGACTAATGCTATTTGGTAAGAATAATCACCATTTCAGACAATTACAGCTGTTTTGACATAATCACGTTTCTTTTCAGTTAACATTAAATGTGACAGCATGAAGCATTAAATCTAACCCGAAACACTCCTGCTTCAGAAAGTTTTTGCCTGAATTCAGCACTTGCACTCAACACTTGCAACACGCAGTTGCTCAACTTTCCAACGACTGCATAAAATGGAGTTTTGGAGCCTGCCAGTTTTCTAGATTAAAAACAAACGCCACTCTTTAGACTAAACTTTCATTCAGCCAGATTTGATAAATAAGGAAGATGTATTTAATTAAGGAAACTGAAAGCCCGTTTAATTACATTTAGTTTAGCATTTTCCTGATTAAGTAATTAAGTTGAGGACTCGGTGGTTCAAACAGGTAACACTTTAAATTTCTTGAAATGATTTAATGTGGAAATTATATTCCAGGGTGACTCTGCAAGGACAGGGAGACACCCTTGCGAGTTTGGATTTGACTACTGCGCACCGGGCGAGGCAGGCAAAGTTTAGGACTGTGAGATGTTTCTCAGGAGCACCCGTCTCAGCCGAGCCTCCCCTGTCGACACCGCAGCGACGTCCGCAAGTACTTGAAGGGAGGCGAGCGCGCGCCCGACCGTCCCGGAGGCTCCAGAAGGGGCCGCCCCGCCGCCCCGCCGCCCCGCCGCCCCGCCGCCCGGCGCTCACCTAGGCCGCGCCAGCCCTGCGCGCCGTCGCAGCTGTCCAGGACCGCGCACAGCTCGCCCAGCAGCGTGGGCGGCAGGTCGAACAGCAGCGTGTGCGCCGAGAGCGCGCCGCTCCCCGCCATGCCGAGACTCGGGCGGGCGCGGCGGGCTGCGGAGCTCTGCTCGCCGCGTCACACAACCGCGGAAATCCTGCCCCACCGCGGCGGCCGGCACCTCGGCCCTCGGCGCTCCCGGCCCTGGGAGGGGCGGCCTCACGTGACGCACGGCGCCGCTCCGCTCAGCTCCGGGCCGGACGCGCCTGCACCCGGCCCGCCGGCGGGGACCCTCCTGCGCTCCCGGCGCTTAGGCTTCGTGGTGCGAACCGAGCGTTTCTTCCTCTGGCCGCTGGCGGCGACTGTGCAGACCAACCAGAGAGCGAGAGCGGGACCAAGACCGCCGGGCAGAGCTGTCGGAGCTAACCCTTGGCCCTTTCCCAGTGAGGGAATAAGAAGTTCGTCGTTACGGGCTTAAAAGGCTTATTTCATTAAACGTGGCAGAAAAGATGGAACACAAAAACCACAAGAAGAAAATAAGCACTCACTCAGCTAAAGACGACTTCTGCCGAAGTGTTTGCTCCTTTTCCTGCCAACGCTTGGTGAATTTAAGAGATGAAAAGGTGCGTGTACACAGTGATTACTGTGGAAAAGATGGATGAAGAGGTCTACAGCAGAAAAATAGAGATCAAAAGGAAGCCAAACCGTGTTTCCTTCCGAAGCAGCCCCTTCTCTTTCAGGCTATCTTTTTCTGATGAAACTGTGACCAAAGCTTCCTCCCTCAAAGTGTTGGAATTTAAGTGAAATTCAGTGTTGTTTTGAAATCCTCTGCTGTTTATATTGTAATACCCCACCTTACCATGACAGAAATGCTACTGGCAAAATAAGAGATGCTTTGAAAACGGTGAGAAAAATCTCAGCGTTACACACTGTAATAAGTGGCTCTATCAACTGGAAAACAGGAGCAGTGTTGGAAACAGTTCAGGTCTTAGCTTTTGGGAATAGCTCCCTCTAGAGATCAAGAGCGAAGACATATTTAACGTTTAGCACCTCTGCCTGAATTTCCAAAAGTATTCCATAAAAATATACCTGAAATTGGGTAAACCCAGTACTGCTGGGGCAGGAGTTTCCATGACCCTTCATTTCTAGATCTTCTAATTTAACAAAAATCAAAGATTTTGTGTGAAAGCTACGTGATATGAAATCTGTATTTTCAGTGTTGACAGTTGTTTCGAGACCGTTTCCTCCCTAGTCCTAAAACTGCCTTTTCATTGTCAATTTTATATCATAGGTTACATCATTCATTACGTCACTCATGCACTGTTCTCCCTCTCCCAACCCAATTCCTCATTTTTAGGCTCTATAGTTCTTAGTTCATTTCTACTTTCTCCAACACTAATTCTGCCTCAATCTTTGGTAATTTAATATATATGTTGCATTATTCAGCTTTCCTGTCACTGGAACACAATACATGACACCTGCAGTTTAAAGGATGAGAAGTTTAATTTGGCTTATTATTTCAAGAGATTTAATCTATTGTTGGGTGACTACAAGGCACGAACATCATAGTGGAAGAGCATGATAGAGCAAATTCTTAGTCTCTAGGAAACAGAGCAGAGGAACAGTGCTGGAGAGGAAGGGGCAAAGAACCATATATTGTACCAAGTGCCATGCCTCAGGAACCTACCCAGACATGCCCAGAAATGGGCTTTACTAATCCCTCAGGTGGCCCTGAGCCCATCAAGTTGACACAATCAAGTTTAAACCTTACAGACCACCCTTTGTCAACCTGACATCCAAACACATTTATTTCCTTTGTCTGTACCTTACAAATAAAAACAATAAGCTAATAATTCTGCTTAACATGATACAACTATCTTGCATGCAACCAAAAGTGCAGTAAACCTCTCTCCAAAAGTTTAAATAGCTTCAGCATTTTTTTAAAAAGTCTCATCTGAAAATGACACAGGCAGATAGATCTTTTACAGAAGAGAAGGTGACCAAGAGCCCAAGGATAAGGAAAAGAGAGAAGCAAAAATAAACAGATTTAAAATGTATCATGTACATGTACCAACTATTCAGAATGAATGTAATCATTATATGTCACAAACATTATATGTTGTAAAAATGCTGTAATAATAATAAAGAAAATAGGAAAACAGGATCTAGTGATGGGGAGAGGGAAGTAAGTGAAGAGAAGAAGGGAAATAAAGAACCAAGTTATGTTAAGTACATGTATCCCTTCCCTAAGATGAATATAAACATCATGTATTACATGAACTAATAAAATTTAGACAAAGCAAACTCAGCTATCAACCTCTGTGAAAAAATTTAAAAACAAGTTACATAATCCCAAGGTACAATGCCATAGGATAAGCAGTATATTACAAAAGGGTAAAATGAGGAGATAAAGAATTGGACCAAAATCTAACAGGAAAGACATTAAGCCCTGTAGCTCTATCTCCAACATCCAGAGTACATGGTTATAATATGTGAGTTCCAGAGCACTTAGCCTCATGTTTATAATCTTGCTGGTTTAAGGTCATGTGGTCTCTCCCTTGGCCTCACTGTACTCATTGCCTGCAGCTTTGCTCAGTGGACATCCCATGTTTCTGCGATCTCTAACTTCCTAGAGTATTCACTGCACCTTTGATTTCATTCCCAGAGCTTCACACACTACCCTCTCTGAGGTTCCTTGCTTGGTCTTCCATGCTTTCTTTTGAAATCTGGATGGAAGTCTCCCTGACTCCACAACTCTAACATTGGGTATGTGTGAAAGACCAGCATCATGTAGATGACACCAAAGTTGCTTACTCAGGTAGGAGAAGCCAGGCCACCTTGGACTATAGCAGCAGGAGCCTCTGAGTGCCTGGATGGCTGAGCAAAGTGAAATGAATTCTAGGGAACCGATTCCCTACGTGTCTCTTCTTGAGCAAGGTCTCGCTTTAATAATGAAAGATTTATGCTTTTACACCCTTGAGGCTATGCTGGGTGGGATCTTTTGGATTCCCAAAATACTCTTGGGGCATCTTCTTGTACTTGATTCTCTTTTAATGGCACTAATCTCTTCAGAAACTTCAGCCTCAACTTTACATATTGTTTCCTCTAAGCCAAAATTTAAAATTTTCAAAATTTTCTACTCTGCTTTTTGCCCCTGATTTTCATCATAAATCTGTGTAAGAGAAATCAACAATACTCATACTACAGCCTGACCAATGTGCTACCTTGAAATTTTCTTTGCCAGATCAATTAATCTACTACCTTTAAATTTAGACCCCTACAAAGTCTCAGGACATAAGCAAAATGTAGACAAAATTTTTTGCCACAGTATAGCCCACATAACATCTCGTCCAATTCTCAAAAAGAGTGTTCCCAACTGAAAACTCCTGTAACAGGTCTTTGCCATCCACATGCCTATCAGCATTCTGGGGTTCTGTCTTCTGACCAGAATCATCCATCAGGCTCTGCTTAGAGCACTCTCAGTCTTTAGCCCAGATCTCTAAACCTTTCTCCCACAAACTAGCTCCTAATCACATGACCAGGTACAGGGACAACAATATCCCTACTTCTCTGGTACTACTTTTCTGTATTAACTTTCCTTTCAGATCCAAGGCATAAATATCATGACAGAGGGCATGGTAGAGAAAGATGTTCAGTTCATAGTGCAAGGAACTAGCTCAGGGGAACAGTGCCAAAGTGAAAGAAGCAAGGGACCAAATATAGTGCCCAAAGTCATGCCTCAGTGGCTCACTCAGACACACCCAGAAGTATGCTTTACTAATCTCTTTTGTGGCCTCAATGAAGCCTAACCATCACATACATAGAACAGATGATGATCTGCTTATTCAATACCCTAGACTCTGTGTTTTTTAAATCCTTTTTCCCCATGATCTTGCATTCTTCTTCCCTATTTCAAACTCTAACTCCAACGATAACTCCCTAGGACTTGTCATTGTCAGTAATTGGGTCTTATCCATTCTTTATATTTCTTGAATTCATGCTGTGACAACACCCACCTTTCCTTCTAGTACATTCCCTCCAATACTCTTACCCAAAGGACATTTCCCTTCACCAGGTCATCTAATTCAGTATCTTGCTACCTCTATTCTCACCTCACCTCCTTTGTGTCCTCACATTACTCCTTTTATTATTATAATCGCCCTTTGCATATGCTCTCTGTTCCTTTGTTGACCTCTCACTTCATGGAAGTCTTGTGGCTGATACATGATCTTGACTGAATCCATGTTTCCAAGTTTTGGTTCTGCACCCACTCATGTGAACGTAGCTATATTTTTTTAAACCACTAAAACTCCTTAAATCTTGTTACTTGTGTTCATTTTGAATCAAAGCCAAGACTCTTTATGCTGCTGGGCAATAATACTATGCAGTTTAGTCTATTTATTCTTCTAGTCTCTTTCAGAGTTATTTTATGCTTTGTTTTCCTAAATTTCTATCACTTTCTCTCTTATCCTCATGCTCACCTAATGCCCTGAGAATATTTACTGAGAATAATGATCTATCAGAAAGAAAGTAATTCTATTGAATCTCACTATCACATCCACCTACCTACTAACAACTATATTAATGTACACTTTCTCCCTCTGAACTCTAGCCTTCTATCTACATCTAAACTTCTCAGTTGCACAGTAAATCCTATCCCCTGTTGCCTGGGCAAAGGCAACAAGGGGAGTTATTTTCCCTCATCTGTGCTACATCATCTATTATTACTCTTTATTGGCTCAATTCCTTTATAATACAAATATGATGTTTCTTCCACCTTGAGAAATAGAATTCTTTGATAATAGTTTCCCACTTCCATCCACCACCTCCATTTCTTTGTTCTTTTTTTGGAGTAAAGTTGTATATTCTCATTGTCTCCAGAGTTTTTCCACCTGTGTTTTGTTTCTTAAATCTGTTCTTGTTTGAGCAACCTCTCATACCTCGCTTCACTAATAATGCTCTCTTCTGGGTCACCCGTGTCCTCATCATTTCAATTTTATCTTACTTGACCTGTTGGTAGTTTTTTTGGGTTTTTTAAACATGTTTATCACTCTTCTTCTTGTTGGACCTTTTCTTCATTTCACCACTCTTCAGATTCCTTTGTGATTCCTTCTCTTCTCCCTTAACTCTTAACACTGGAATCTCCCCAGGTTTAATTCATGGCCCTCTATGCTACCTTGGAGATCTCACTCCATTTCAAGTATTTAAATGTCATCTGTATTCCAAAAAATTCCAAATTTATATGTGAATCCCAGACTTCTTAAATTCCAAGGTGATATTCAAATTTGAAGCTTTGATCATGCCTCTTGAACCTACTCTTCCCAAAGTCTTTCCATCTAGATTAATAGCAACTTTATATTTTCAGTTCTAAAACATATAGACTCATCCTATACTCCTCTATTTCTTCATAACATGTAATCAATCTACAAGCAAAAACTGCTTATACTATTAAAATTTATCTAGAATCTGTCTACTTTTCC